TTCTGCTGCTACAGCTGCTGTGTTTGCTGCTGTTGCTGTTGCAGCTGCTGGTTGCTGCTGCTGCTGCTTCTCCTATAGCTGCTGTGTTTGGTGGTAGTGCTGCTCCAGCAGCTGCTGCGTTTGCTGCAGCTGCTGCAACAAATAAATAAATATATATATATATATATATATATTGATGATGCTTACTCTTACAAACTATTTATATCTGCATGCATTTATTATTTGTTTGTGTTTATGTGTGTATGCTTTGTTGTTTCTTTAGTTAGAAGAAATTTGTTATTATTTATAGTTATATTTATATTTATATGCATATGTATATGTATATGTATATTTATATTTATATTTATATTTATATTTATATTTATATTTTATTTTCTTTTTAAACTTTTTTTGTTTTTATTTAGGCATGCAGAACTGGCAGAGGCATTTTATTATTTTGGGGTTTTCTTCTCCGATTCAAGTCCAAATATGCAAGTGAGTTAATTAATTAAAAATAATTAATTAAATATAATTAATTAATTAATTAATTAATTATAATAGTATTTATTTATATCAATATATTTTATTTACACACTTACACATATTTTTAGCTACTCTATCGACAGCTGCTTTTGCATGCATTATATATATTATATATATATGTCTATATATATATATATATAGTTAACTTGATATATACATATATGTATATATATTTATTATATATATTATTATATGTATATAGGACTTGAGGTGTTTAAGGGTTTAGGCTTTATTAGAATGCACTGTTTAGGGTTCAGGAGGGCGTAATGGTTAGGGTTTAGTGCTCAGCGTATAGGGTTTAGAGTTTAGAGCTTATGGTATAGGATATAGGTTTTAGGGTTTAGGGTTTAGGGTTTAGGGCTTAGGGTTTAGGGTTTGGGGTTTAGGGTTTAGGGTTTAGGGTTTAGGGTTTAGGGTTTGCGAGACAGGAAGAGGCCCATATTTTTGCTGCTCGCTATAAACGCTCCGATTTTAACGCGACTGCAACGAGCAGAAGGTGAAGATTTGGAAGAATTTCTTAAAAAAGAAGATGAGGTAATTAGGGTTTAGGGTTTAGGGTTTAGGGTTTAGGGTTTAGGGTTTGGGGTTATTAGTGATGAACATATTTCAGCTCGTTTTTTGATGGTGGTTGGACTCACTAAGCTAAATACGCTGCTGTTGCTGCTGCTGTTGCTGCTGCTGTTGCTGCTGCCTCTGCTGCTGTTGTTGTTGCTGCTGCTGCTGGTGTTGCTGCTGCTGTTGTTGCTGCTGCTGGTGTTGCTGCTGCTGCTGCTGCTTTTGCTTGCAGGCGATGTTTGGATGGCCCGCGGAGGGAGTAGGCGAAGGGATTAGCGCATGTAGGGGCTTTATTAGGGTTTAGGGTTTAGGGTTTAGGGTTTATTGCTTTATTTGTTTTGTTTTAGCAAATATATAAAAATAAAAATATAATAAATTCGTTATTAATATTTTTTGTTATTGTTTGTGCATTTGCTTCGTCTTTGCTTCTTTTTCTTATTTTTTCTTTGTTTGTATTTTAATTCAAGTATAAATATAAATAAGTAAATAAATATATATATATATATATATATATGTATATGTTTCTTCTGCTCCTATATATATTGATTATATTTATTTATTTCTTTTGTTTTATTTAGTCTT